AGAGAGCAAGTGGAAGTAAAACCATGGAGAGAAGAGTCTCAACGATCATCTTGAACGTATATCAGAGTACAGGAATAGAGAAAGAAGATGGTTCCAGACTATCCTTAGAGAACCATCGAAAGCTGGACGAGGTACGGAGGTTCTCTAATAAGAAGTTCGAGGAAGAACATGATGTTCACCGTAACCTGGCCTCGTCAGAACAGTACTCGAGACTCAGTGAGAAGGGGGAATACCAATATGTGTCTGGAGTGATGGGAATAGCCTACAATCCCTTCTTAGACTCGGAAGCTGGAGGAGCCCACAGAAACCATGAGGTAGCGGAGCTACTGAAGTTTTGGACAGAAAGAATAATGGAGATAGACGCGGTGGAGAAAGAGGGGCCGAGCCTGGGCCTGATTCTTGAGAAAACACCAGAGGTGATAAGCATACCGCGCTCAAACAAGAGAGTTGAAGTGAACATGGGCGGTGGAGATGGCTTGTTAACCACGAACTTGGGAGTGATATGGAAGCTACTAAGACCCTCCTGGTGTCCACATCCCCATGCGAGTCTAATCGAGGAAACCACCGAGCGAGTGAGGTTAGCACCAACGGAAGATGAAGATCTGGCGAAGTTGAGTGTGCTACATAAGCTAATCACACCCCAGATGCAAGAGCCAAGCGAAAGGACGAGCGACCCCGGGTCAGCAAAGAAATTGGAGCCGGGTAGCTGTCTGGATTCGACGTGTGGGAACGGAGAGCACATCTGCGATGGACGGTCATGCGTCAGAATACTGTCGTTTCAAAAAGAAGACCTGGTCACTTGGTTCGAAGACATCACAGAAAGGGAGAAAAGTGAAGTGCAAATAATAGCGGAATGTTACGCGAGAACCACGGTGAATATAGCGACAGCTCTCGGATTCTTCTCGAGAATGTGTGGTCTGCAGGCACTGGAGAGACTGGAGTCTGAACATCATTTAGTGACGGCGTTGAGCGTAGAATCATGGCCCGGGGTGTTGCAGGTGACTCAAAAACACATCCGGAGCTGGAAGGTTGGTCTTGAGGCGGAAATGGGATTTCCCATGAGCGAAGCTTATGGCTTGCCATTGAACGCGAAATCGCTGATAGGGTCAATGATGGCCAACTTGTGCGGAAGTCACTACCCGCTACACATGGCGATGGTGGAAGTGTCCAGCCAGAGAATACTGGTGGACAAGGCCTTCTCAGTGCCCAAGTGTGTGAGGTTGGCTCGGATGTCGCATCACTCGCACAAGTTGTTGAGAAAAATCAAAGGGACAGTACCAAAAGAATTGAGAGATGACTTAAGCGAAATCTGGGGAGAAGATCTTCTGAAGTTGGAAAGAGAAAACACGAGCGATCACGAGAGACAAAACGTGATCGGGAAACCTGTGGGAAGTACTCCGAACCTGGAAGACAACGACACGATGCACGAGAAAATGATGGAGCTTGAGCCTCTCTTGGAAGCCTCAGGGGAGCGTAATCTCAGGAGCATTGAGATCTCTCATGGGGAATGCCCATGCCACTGCTTGGCACAAACGGTGTGGTATCCAGATCACAAGAACCTTTGCCTGGTGTGGGATGTGGAAGAGATTCGGTCGATCGGACTACCGGATCACCGGCAGAAGGTGACGCTCTTAGTAGTGAGTACGATGTTAGCCCTGAGATGGATAGAAGAGAATATAACGAAGTATCGGGAGGCGACGACGCCAACGGCTGAGTCAATATACGCGATAGACTACAGCAGGAGACTCGAGTTGTTTGAGACTGCGTGCAAAGTATTCGCCATACCGACGGAAGTCAGGCACGTATGGAGTCGCTTGAGGTACTTTCCATGGTTTCGGGCGACACTGACGTCTTGGTTGTACATGACAACGAAAGATCACATGAGAAAACATCAAAAAGAGTATCGACAGTTCCAGGCCGAGATTGGGCCGGAAGCTTTCAAGAGACCCCTGCTAACCCATCGTAATGCGATCACGACAGGATGGAAAAGAGTGGGTAAGATGTCTAGAGACAATACCAAAGCGAGGGAGTCGATACTAGAGGAAGACCTGGCGAAGAACGTGAGCTTGAGCCTGCACAACTCCTTTTGCTTGAACCGAGAAGCTAGGGTGAAGGCACTACCCAACCAAGCAAAGAGATTGCAGGAGCAGAGAGAATGGATGCGATCCTATGAACAGCTGCAGGCTTGGGAGGAGATTGTGATTAGTTCCGATGATGAAGAGGAACTGTTGAGACAGTTTGCCGCATCTAGCACTTCAGGATGCAGTACCTCCAAGGTGAAGAGCACGAGATGAATGGGCAAATCGGATGGATCTTGAGTCTTGAGAGGGAAGGGGGGCTTGAGCGTGGATCTGAGTGAAACTTGGATTCACGAAAAAGAAATTTTAACAAAGCAAATATTGTTACTAATATACTATATTTATTATATAAATCGAAAATGCTGCATGACAATTTCCTGATTGAATAGGACAAAAGAGATTTTAAAATGATTGGCTTGAAAAGCGAAAATTCAAGGGTGCAGGTGTATGCAGATTTTGGTTGCTGTTTAGCAATAGTGTGAAAATTTTAAATGGCTGTGAATTTTGGGGTGTAGATAAGCTTAAATCTGCTGCAAACTTCTGTAAATGACCACTGGCACTGTATCTTGAGCAACACTCGGTTTTTCTGGGACTCACAGGCAGAAGACAGCGCGCGATGAGGACATCGATCTCGAGTCCGGGGAGTATGTGCCAGTCGGTCATATTTGGAAGTTTGACCTTGAGAGAAGCAAAAAACACTTGATTTTGGAGTGAAATTTAATTTTTCAAAGTTTCGAATGGAACCTGTCATGCACGATTTTCTCGCGAGAACTGAAAATCAGAAAAAGAGATCAGAACAATTTCAGAACGATTAAGACACACACGCGGGAAAGTCGCAAGAAAAAACAGTAGGAAATTGCTATTCGCAATTTCCATCACTATAATAATCGAGAGTAGAGCTGTCCCATCTGTGACAGAGACGAGAGCATTCCCTCGAGTTGGATTATTACGATTGGAATACTATTCTTGACTGGACCAGAGTGAACCTTCGGTGGAAAGGTGGACAGCTAGAGTGTCCCAATGGTTCACGAGAACTTGCAGTCTAGAGTAAAAACTTGTTCTTGTTGTTGAAACTGACTAACATTAAACTCATATTAGTTACTTTATTAATTCTTGAGTTGTTTACCGACTTATTTACTTCCTGGTTCTTGAGCGTGCTACAATGTGAGTACTTAATTTAAATTCTAGAGTGTGTTTTATAATTGTTATGTTGAGGTAAGGCGAGTTTTAGGTTGATCCATCTGAAATGGATCAAAGTTCCACTGTCTAATAAAAAGTAACTTAACGGATTGTTCCAACCCGGTTTTTAACGGCGTTCATGTATTTTGGGTATCTAGAGACCTAAGTATGGGGACGTTTCTAATTCTAGAGTGGGGGGATATTTTAGTAGTAGCCTTTAAGCTGTAACGGGTCGTAGTCTCATGTCACAAGCGAACCGAACTGGCTCCGACCGTTCTTGAGGTAGAAAAACACAAGAGATAGTGTCCCTGACCCTTGAGCCAGTGGTTATAGGGCCTATTTTTCTTAAGCCTCATGTGTGACTGCAGTAGACGAATGTTACATTCAGGTAAATGGTTGATCCATCTCTGGTGGATAGGCTGGTCTTCTCTCATCTACTAAAACAATAGAGTCAAAATAACTTAGATTTGATAGTGTACCAGCCTCGGTTTTAGGAGTGACCTCAGGTTCTAGGTATACTGAGACCAGGCATGAGCTCACTTATTTCAACTTTAAGTGAAGTTAATTAGCACGGCTCGGCTGATAGCCTTTAAACAGCAACGACTTTGTCGGCAGATGTTACGAGAAACATAGAGTTGGCTATTGTAGAGACTGTCAAAGGCACGTAAATTTACTACGACCTCAACCAATCGTCTTAGCATGTAGATTTACTTTCCGTGGGTATATACTTCCGGGAGAATGTTACACTGGGGATCCGAGACCCAGCTGTGTGGTTGCATTTATATGTGAAGCGAAAGATAAGTAAGATTCGTTCGACTAATGGCCTGAAAGCTGTTACATTATTGTTGACCCTTAAACAGACCAAAAATCAGCTGGCTAGATTGAGACGATGAAAAAATCCGTAGAATTAAGGTTTCTGACGTCAGCTGGTAGTCAACAGGGATTTTTTCTACTTCAATGTGCAAGTTCTGGGCGAAAGTTACAATTATATAATGGGCGACATTGAAAACGCGACATTAAGAATATAGCTAAATCTTTCTTCAAAATGGAAATAGTTGAAGAAAAAGTGGAATCCTACAATTTTACGCTTTTGAAGCAAATTTGAGAAAAATTATAACTAAATTTAAACCTGTAAATTTACTGTTGTTCCAAAAAATTGGTCTGTTTATTTGTCAGTGTTTCTAAAGGTATGTGCTTTCAAGTGTTGTTAGTTTATTGACCTGATAAAGGCGAGAAGTTTCCGAAACTGTGACTGAATCAAGGTTTTGAAGTTAGTTTTATGAATTGAATCAGGTAAAACATTATCTACGTTATTTTTTCGTTTCTACATTATTTTTGCCATTTTTTTCGAAACTTAATTTCCAGGCCAGTTGTCAAGTTTTGTTGCTATTTATCAGAGCAAGCAATTGAATTTTGAAGAAACTCGTCAAATACACGGTGAAAAAGCATTGGCTCATCGAGTTTTTGTTGCCATTTCAATGTCGCCCAGTGTATACAAAGATTAAAGTTCAATAAAAAGTGACAAACATGTCTGAATGGTACAATTAAAAAGTTAATACACTTGTCTTTCACGAAACGATGAAGGAAGAATGTGATATCTTCGGTTACTATGATAATTTCTAACTTTCTGATGATTTAATTTAAAAGAAAAAAGATTGTAGTAATATTAACAACAAAACAGATATAAATGACTTCAATTGTTCTAATTTGTCTGTGACTTTTTGATTTTGCTATCTTTAGGTCCAAATGATACTTAATGTGGCCGTGAAAGTTTCAATTCCGCAGAAATGATGGAAAATGATCAACAGTTCGCAAGTTCCTTGACTAGGGGGAAAGGGTGTTCGGAAGATTCTGGTTATTTAGATAGCGCTGCGTCAAAAGAACCAGCAAATACATCTTCATCGTCTACGAATGAAATCAATGCTGTAAACAGCTCCGAACAGGTAATTGTATTGAATATATTTTTTAAAATAATAAGTTGAACATATTTAAAATATTGAATATATTTTTTAAAAAAAGTTAATGCTTTAACTTTTTTTTCAAGGCTTGTTCCTCTTCCTCGAGAAGCGAGGATATTTATGGCAATGGACAACGAAAAAGTTCAATTTTTGATGCCAGTAAATTCCCACCTGGCAGTCCAATTCAAGTGGATGACATGCGCCAATGGAAATACCCGTATGAGTTTAAATGGACAGAGCCCAGGAAAGCAACAATTGATAGTGGGTTTTTGAAATGGATACATTGCAACAATGTTATGCACCAAGGATCCAATGAAATCTATACGATAGTCGAGTAAGTAAAAATCCAATACTGTACTTCAATCAAGATACAGCGAGTTTTCAAATTATCCAGCGGTATCAGCCTCATATTATTTTTCGAGTCATGTTTAGGCACATAGAGTTGGAGCAAGAGCACGTGAATAGTCTCAGCTTCTTACAGCCTGGCTTCGTGATCGTTTCGGTGGACGGAAAACCGCTTCACAAGCTAGACGAGTCTCCGATGTTTTGCAGACAGAGGTCTGCTACGTTCAATTTGGGAGATCTCCGACCTGGGATTACCGGTTTTGTTGACTTGTTCTACATGGAGCCAATGGACGTGGAAGCCATAGATAAGAAAACTTTCCTAGACAACGATTCTAAGTTTCATGGTTAGTTCTAAAAACAATTAAAGATGGATTTAGAATTTCAGGGACCCTGTCAAGTGCAAGTTTCACGTGGATGGCAAATCATCTGATTAAAAAATTGATCACCCGATGTTAAATTTTTGTTGATAATGGTCTTGAACGCTTCCGAAGAAATTGTAATGGCTTATTTGAAAGGAACTCTAGTTTTTAGAAATTAATAGTAAATTAGTACTTCGGATTTTTAATCAAGGGACTTTCTTTCTTGCCCTTTAGAAGGTTCAGTTAAATGTCTAATTCTTGAAAAGTTCTGAGAATTACCGGTTTTATCTTGAGTTATAATTTATCTTGAGCAGTATGCCATAGTTTCATCTGTATAAAAAATACTCATTCGGGAGTTGGGAATTGAATTGTTTCAAATTATGCAAACGATGTTACCATGTTATACACCAGTCAGTGATTGTTTTGCCAATTCGAGTTTTGTCGAGATCTTAAAACTCTTGCTCCTATGTTGTTGTTCGTTTACAGAAGTCTTAGCTTTGCTTCTGTGTTTATTAGCTAAAAAGCAGATTCTGGCTTGAAACACATTCATAGCAAATAGGGCGCGTTGGAGCAAATACAGCGCGTTTTAAAGTATGAGATTATTTGTCCACCTGTGAAGTCCAATAAAAGGCGTTATTTTTCCCATAATTTATTCATTTCATTTACCCGTAATTTGTTAAAACTTCGTCTTTTGTTTTGATACAGTTGTTTTCAGGTTATCGCGAAGTTTTCTTTCTGGTCCGCCTCCTGACCTAAGAAAACTGGCCACACTGGCTGAGCCCACTACAGAAATTCAAACTCCATCAGCTATGGAAAAGCTTATGCGAGTTTTGAAACGGCAAGTTGCTCAAATCAGCGACCTTTTTGCTAGCCTCAGTTGCAACCAAGATGAGTTGAGCTATCAGTGATGATTAAGAGTTTGATCTAGCATTTGGTCAATCTCAGAAATCAGTCACGACTGCTCGCCAAACTCTACAAGCCGCAACGAGAAAGTGGGCTGCATCGAGTCAGGCTCTCAACCTTTTAACAACTGCACAGATCGAACCTACAAGAATCTCAGAAATCAGTCACGACTGCTCGCCAAACTCTACAAGCCGCAACGAGAAAGTGGGCTGCATCGAGTCAGGCTCTCAACCTTTTAACAACTGCACAGATCGAACCTACAAGATTGCTGCAGATCTTTCTTCGTAGCTTCAGTGGCGTTTTCACTGCCTGACTGAGCTTCATTGAGTTTTGATCAACTGTCCATGAAATTGAGAAGCTGTCACCAGTTCAGAAATTGGTGGTGTATCTTAGCAGTTTGTTGACGAGTCATGCTCTAAAGCAAGTTCCGCAACTTCTTCATTTTTTTCAGTCTTCAGTGAGACTTTGCAATCGATCAAGCCACTCGTAAGGTCATCAGGAACTGACTTGCATCCTTTCCTGCTCTTCGAGAATCTTGATCTTGAATCTTAAGAGGCATTGGAAACTGCTCACGTTGGTACTGAAGTTTTTGAGTTGATAGAATCCTGATATTCATAAACAAGAGAGTCAGGTTGCTAGAGGTCATTCAAGGATCTCTCAAACTAAAGCGTGAGCAGCAGATGGTCCTAACAGAGAAGACGCGATCCTACAAGAATAGCTTCTCTTTACCACAACATTTCTGGGCTGCAAACTCCTGAAAGGTGTCTTGAAGTCAATAGAAATTGTGGTAGATATCAAACCCTGGAGTGGTTCAGGAATGGCACTTGCTTATATCAGAGCTGATCTAAGCAGAAAAGCTACTTTTGTAGATAACCGCTTTTTTAAATTCAACAGATGCTATCAGCCGACAAGTTGAAATACGTTCCAAATCATCAAACATCTGAATTGCGAAACTTGGTTTTTTGCGAAACGGTTTGTGGTCAGGAATCTTTTGTTGTAGACAAATTAAGATTGTATTCCAGAACAAGATGCAAATCTCGGAGCAAATAAAGAGAGAATGAGTTGAAATGATCATTCGACGAAACTATCGTGGCCAAAATACGCCGCAGCAAAAGGAATTAGGACTAGACGTTTGATAGACGAAAAGAGCTTGAAGTTGTTCGAGTTAAACGGTTGTGATCTCTCAGTAAAAGGTAGCATTTGTTGCAAAGTTCAAACTGGAGGTTTCGAAGAAAATTAACGACGATCGGAATGAGCTTCGAAGTTAAGGGCTGAACCGTCTTGGACGGGAGACGCTCATAAGCATTGCTTCGACGAAAAAAAAAACAACCCAAAAGGGCCCAGACATTACGCCTCCTTCAGCTGGATTGCCTTAGGTTGTTGGACCACTCACAGAAGCTGACTGCCTAACCGAGAAAGACAATTTTCAGATGATATGGCCTCCGATCTTTCTTGAGCTGCTGATAAGTCTCAGCTTCTCACAACAGATGTCTACTTTTGTGGACAACCGCTTTTTTTTAAAATTCAACAGATGCTACCAACCGACAAGTTGAAATACGTTCCAAATCACCAAACATCTGAATTGCGAAACTTGCACGCTTGGTGGTCAGGAATCTTTTGTTGTAGACAAATTAAGATTGTATTCCAGAACAAGATGCAAATTTCGGAGCAAATGAAGAGAGAATGAGTTCAAATGCTTATTCGACGAAATCATCGTGGCAAAATACGCCGCAGCAAAAGGAATAAGGACTAGACGTTTGATAGACGAAAAGAGCTGGAAGGTGTTCGAGTTAAATGATTGTGATCTCTCAGTAAAACGTAGCCTTTGTTGCAAAGTTCAACTTGGAGGTTTTGAAGAAAATTAACGACGATCGGAATCAGCTTCGAAGTTAAGGGCTGAACCGTCTTGGACGGGAGACGCTCATAAGCATTATTTCGACGAAGAAAAAAAAACAACCCAAAATGGCCCAGACATCAACCCTCCTTCAGCTGAATTGCCTTAGGTTGTTGCACCACTCACAGAAGCTGACTGCCTAACCGAGAAAGACAATTTTCAGATGATATGGCCTCCGAACTTTCATGAGCTGCTGTTAAGTCGCTGAAACTGTTATCACGAAACATTAAGCAATAAAGGGAAACTTAAACTGGACAAGATGTATGCTCTGCATTTTCAGATAGAAGCTATACTCAATTCATGACCGATCAGATCATTCTAAGATTGCGGAGGTTGCCGATGAATAGCGATGAAAGGCTACAAGCAATCTTTTCTGATCCTCTTACTAATTAATTCCTTCCTACACTGCTGATATCAATGTTTTCACCCGTCTTCTTCTTCACAACAGGACCAGGAGATGCATCTATTTACTGCAGCTGCCTGAAGACAACACTAAATCCCTATTTACCTACTATATCACCACCGTCTTCCAACTTCCCAAATTAAAAGCCGAGAATTTTACATTATCAGCCTTGTTACTAATCAGTCCAAATTCATCTCCTGTGGAATGTAAAAGAAATGATCAAGTATCAAAGGGGGCAGAAATGCAGGAGCAAACCAATTACGTTTTGATTGATATCGTTACTTGCTCACATAAAAATTCGATTAAAATTCCATATTAGTTTTCCGATAATTAATCCTTTACTGGCAGTTTGTGATAACTAAAAAAAATTTCGTTTTCGGTTTGATACAGTCGCTTTCCTTCTATCGCATAGTACTCAATGATATTGGTGACACTGCTAAGATTGACAAGCAAGTTGAGAAGATGGAGTAGAGAAGATGATTCAATTGAAACGTAACATATAACTCGTGCTATCAATCTTGACTCTTCTAGTTGCAATCACGCCATTAAATTCTTGTCAGATACCGCGGATGAAACAGGTAATGAACAGACAAAACTGGCATTTCGAGAGTCTTTCTTTGAGTATGGTTACATCATTGGTGCAGTTACTGAGGGAAAAAAAACAAAAAAACCATCAGAAAGTGCCAGTATCATTGACACTCTGGACAAATTCTTGGACAATCAGAATTGGGCAACAAGTTTTAAGGTTATAGTGATATATATACCCGACAAACTGCATGATATGAGATTTATTTATAGCAGTCAATGATTGCATCGTCAAAACTGGTGCACTCAAATAGCTTCCAGTTTTTAATTGATTCCAATATCGGTATAAGGATAAATTCGCTTCCGTGAAACCAACCCCGTCAACACAACCGTTCACGTGCTTCCTATAATGTTTTTTTTGCTCATTTCTATATTGCAGTCAAATTCGACGGAAGTTTTTTCAGAGCGAAAAGTTCAGAAATTAACTACCCGAAAAGAACCAGAACGTGTTTAAACAATGCACGTTCGAGAAATTCTCACTCGAGATCAAAAATCAGAAAGTAAAATCAGGGCTTCATCCAGCATAATCTGGCCGGCTGAAACACGCTAAAAGGGAGAAAAACGTACAAAAGTTTTTTAAAAGTTAATGGTTTGGAAGTTTTCTGTCTTCCGTAGTTGTTCCTTCAGATTTGGCAGACGAATGCTTTCAAAAAAAGTGATTGTTATCTCTTCTGTGATGCAGTGGAGATAGCTATCGGAGCAGCCAAATATGTCAGGGCTACTAAGAAGCAGAACACGCACTTCATTGCTAGCCGCCAAAGTACAATTTGCACCAAGGAAGACAGTTTAAATCACAAGACTTGAGCTTTGTTCACTGACTATGGGCTCTAAACTCCTGAAATGTCGTCAAGTCAATCGTAATTTTGCAGTTGGTGGTAGAATACAACGCATGAAGTGATTCAAGACTAGCACTTGCTTGGATTAGTTCAATTCCAATTAGATAATCTAATTTTGTGGTCAGCCGCATTGCTCAAGTTCAACAGATGCTACCAGCGGTCAAGTGGAGACACGTTTGACTCTTCAAAGCCCAGCCAATCTTACAAGATGAGTTGCAAAATTAGCATGTTTAGCGATCATTAGCCTCATTGTTGCAGAGAAATCAAGATCGTTTTCCAGGACAAGCTGCCATTCTCGAAGCAAATGAAGAGAAAAACGAGCTCAACTGGTCATTCGACGAAATCATCCTGTTCATTCATTCAG